GTTTTCATGAATTGTTTTAACTGATTTGGGTAAAGTTTTTAATAAAAATTTTTTTGCTCACATCAAAATTTTTTTATGGACAAATTTGTTCGCTAAAATGGACGGTTTAAGGGATACATAAAGATTAAAAATGAGTTTTGTAGATAGCATAAAACAATATAAAATTAAAATCTAAAACCAGACTAATTCAAAATTTTGATAGTTCACCAATTTCATCACCATTTTCTATCCGTATGATTTTTGTGATGATATGATAGTTATCCTCAATTTCACTCATAAAGATTAGTATACTAGTTGATATAATATCTGATCAGACAAATATAATATCATTAAAATGATGATTTAAGATAATATCTTAATTTTCAATTATTAGCCTCTCCTACTTCTTAGGTGCAAAAAAAATTGCAAGTACTTATTTGTTCTCAATGTAGATGTCATACTGAAAGGTAAAAATAATTCTTAATTTCAATAATCGTTTACTACTTCTAATTTTTCGAGGTGTAAAAACTGTATGTAGTTATTCATTTCAATATAGAAATCATATTTGACACAAGACACAACGTGTAACATATTACACAAACGCGTGTGTATGTTACGCGTTCATGAAAGAAAGATCGTCCAATTGGTGATGTAATCAATTATCTGATGTATTTTTCATCACAAATGTTAATTATTATGCATATAGTCCCAAAAGCTTTAAAATCCGGAGGACTAGAAAAAAAAAAAAAAGTCTCATCTATTGGATAATATTTAATAAAAAATTGATTCATCATATCTATTCCATAAATTAAAACATGTATCGTCATAAGTCATTATATTTTTAGGTATGATCATGCAATATTCGTTAGTTGTTATGACCCGAGAAAAGACAAACAGTTGTCGATACGAATTTAGTTCTAGGTCGTAAAACAATGAAAAGATCAATTACGTGACAGAAGATATTTATTTTATTTATTTAGAATAGATCGAATGTGAAATTAATAGTGTGATGTAGAGGTGCGGTCCGTAAACTATTAAGTTAATATGTAGTTTATTGTAAAACCGTAGTTTTAAAATAAACTACTAGTGCAGTGTGATGATCTTTAAAAAAATGTAGTAATCGGGACGTAATTCGAAAATTCAAGTTTCGTACTATAAATTCGATGGTAATATATTCTTATGATAAAAAAGGTAATATATATACTCAAGGTAACGTAATGATTAGTTTTTTCTTGTTCAAAGAGTGTGCTTATCCGAATACATGGTAGTTTTGTATTCTGCCTCATAGTTTATCTACCTTAGATCATAAAAAACCAAATATACGCCTAACAAACATTTACAGCATACTTATGTAATTGGATTTGGATGACTGAATATAAAAATGTGCGAAAGTATCGAAATGAATGATTAGGACTTTCATTCGAAAAATGGCGAGCAAAGAATTTTCAGTATGTCAACATATGACTTAACTTTTTTAACTTTTAATATTATCGTAATATTTTTACCACATCATTTAATTATAAATAAATTAGACTTTAAAAGAAAAAGATATTCAACCTGGAGATTATGTTTCCACACCATTTCGTGGAGGATCGCGTCAAGGCTATGTTAAAGAAATTGTTAAATCTGAGGAAGAAGCAAAAAAACATCCAACAGCCACTAGGCAAATATTTTCTATTATAAAGAATTATTATAAGGAATTTATAGTAATTGTTTTATTAATCAATGAATTAATAATATTAGACCACCAAAGATTGTTTTCGATGATCAACATGGACATGAGGTTTGGCAAAAATAAATAACTATAACCAATTCTTTGAATTATTCTAATCATTCTAATTTATATTTTTTTATAGGTGGCACATAATCCAAGCACTTTGTCTAAAAATGAATCAAAAAGCAGAAAAGATGAATAGTTTTCTATCATAAAAATATAACAAACTTTAATCGATATAATATAGACTTTTGTTTGCCCTATTACAATAGTCTGAATTTAGTAACTATCCTAGTAATTCTGTAATTTTAAAAATGAAATTTTATTTACGTTTAGCAAAATTTCATGTTTATTTCAAATAAGTTTTTTTTTTATCAATCAACAATTTGAGCCAGTCGATAATTACTTCTACCTATTCTAAATATACAAACGATACCATCAACTAAATCATTTTCTTGCAATTGATATTGTGGATCTCCAATACGTTTGCTATTCAAATACAATCCTCCAGATTTAATCAATTTGTTAGCTTCACTACGTGATTTGCATGCACCAGCAACAACAGCTACGCGATCAATTGAACAATTTAGAACATCATTACGTTTAACGGTAGTTAAACATCGTGAGTCATTTGCAAATGCGTCAATTATGTCGTGACCAGACATATCTTTAGTTGGTGTATCAAATAAAATACTAGTAGCAAATTGTGCTTTTTTGAGACCTTGTACTAAATATGAGAAAGATAAACTGGTTAATACTTAACAATAAATGTTGCAGTAGATGCTGAAATAAAAACTTTTTGTTTTTTTTAGGGTTGGGTCAGGGTTATAATTAATAATTAAAGAGCATTGGCAGGACTTATATTTCTAAATCGCGACCCCAAATTTCAGCATCATCTGCCGCGACAATAAATTTTATAATTATTAAGTACAGTAATACTCACATCCATGCACAAGTTCCGTAATCTCAGATGCCAACTTTTCTTGCGCATAATGCTTTTCTGGTGATTCCTGCAATTAAAATTACATTTTAATAAAAACTATTATGTATAAATCCAATTATTTACCAAATTATCATAAAAACTAATACCACATGTGTTTTCATAATCTGAGTTATTTCTTCAGCATTTAACAATGTAAACATCAAAAGATATTTTTCTACATCTGCATCAGCAACTTTCATAAAATACTATTGATAAATTAAAATATGCTTGATAAGATAAACAGTAATAAAATAATTAAAAAAAAAAAAAAAAACTACCTGATAGAATTCATATACACTAGTTAAATTTTCATTCAACCAAATCGCGTTTCCTGTAGATTTGCCAAACTTTTCTCCTGTCGAAGTCAACAACAAAGGAATTGTAATTCCAAATACATCTCTTAACTTATCTTTGATATTCTTATCATCAATCATTTCATGATTTTTCTTTTTATTGATCAGGTCAATGCCTGCAGTGATGTTTCCCCATTGATCACTACCTCCTAACTTGGAATGAAAAGAATTCAATAAATACAAAGCTTCAATAAAGAAAGCTAATTAAATTTTTATATCACCTGAATTCGACATTGATGATGATTATACAAATACCAAAAATCATAAGCTTGAAGTAATTGATAAGAAAACTCTGTGAAACTTATTCCCCCTTCATTTTCCATCCTTAATTTGACACTTTACAAAGTTGAAAATTTAGATTGAAAGACTGAAAGATTTTTCAAATAATTAATTTAAAAAAAAAATAATAATGATTGTAATGATATTAGACTCACCTATCTTTCATTAACATTGGTCCAACTCTAAAATATCTTCCTATATTGTTTAACATCTCAAGAGCTGTCATTTTACGAAACCATTCCAAATTATTCATAACCAAAAAATTATCAAGTTCATTGGTTAATACGAATCCACGTCTTGATGCGTACACAAGTCCATTATTAAATATACGACATAATTGCTGATTGAGAGCTGTTACATTATGTTCTATTGTGGTAACCGACATGGGTTGACGTTCTGTATTACGTCCTGATGGGTCCCCTATTAGACCCGTTGCACCACCGATCTGATAATTTTATTTTGATACAATAACTCGATCATTATACATAAATAATATAAATTTCATTATTTAAAAATATGACAAACCAAAACAATCGTACGATGACCGATAACATTGAAATGTAATAATCCCATTAACGTTAATAAGTTTCCTAAGTGTAAACTAGGTGCAGTAGGATCCACACCACAATATACCGCTGTTTGTTTTTTTACGTGATTAATAATGTCAGGACTTCAAAAAAAATAATGATAACAATGGCATTTTTTTAAGCAACTGCGATTGCATGATATACTAAAAATTAAAGCAATATTATTTAAAAATGCGATAAAGAACCTCGTCAATTCGTTGACCATTCCACGTTTCTCTAATTCTAAAATCACATTACGTTGTTGAATATCTGTATTATTATTATTACTAGTAATATATCTTAATGTACGGAAACGATACAGTAGTATCGCTGGCCATATTGTTACTCTATTCTTGATGGATCTTAGAGGGAGTTGTGAACTCAATTTATGAAAATGAAATCGAAAGTTCATTAAAATTTAAGATACGTTACACTGACAAGTTTTTATATCAGAAAAAAAAAAAAAAAAAAAAAAACGTACCAATAATAGTCAAAAAATAACAAGTTGACAATTACTATTACATTTTTTTCAGGACATTCCTAAAATTCCGGGTCAGTCTGGGCCATAGATCCAATCCAGTCTATAGCAGGGCATTTTTACGTACTGTACGTACGTATCAGAGCCGCCGCATCTAAATTAGCACGACGATCACATATCTAAATCCGACCGAAATTTTCATATCGATATTGTCCGGAGGACCTTTAATTCCTACGCACGGTAATGCAGATCGTTAATTATATCATTTATTTTCACATCCTAAATCTAGTTATTTTCCCAAACTCTTCCGTCCACCAACCACTATCCACTATCCACTAAAAGCTTTCTACTTGTTGATTAATCAGTAATAAAACTAAAAGTGAAGTTTGTTTTATTTAAATAGTCTATCATGGTAGATAACATTGTTCTGGAAAATTTTATTACTTACTTGAAAGTGAACAACAAATTTGATAAGAATTACTCAGCTAACGGTGACTATGCTGCTAATTGGGATGATTTTATTTTGAGTAGAGGTGAAGAAGCTAATTGGGATGATTTTATTTTGAGTAGAGGGGAAGAAACTTTATTATGTATATTATCTACTGAATCAGTTGATGACAATTTTTTTCAAGGTCACATTTTAAACAGGTATGGCAAAAAAACGGTAGAAAAAATGCTAGAAGATATTTATGTATATAAAAGTTAAACTTCGCATGGATAGAAGAGGTAAAAAGGATTAAGGAGGAGTTAATAAAAGTTAAGGTTAACAACGCAGAGAAAGAAAAAATTATTACTCATCTGAATAGTAATTTAAATCAAACAAAATTTATTGAAAAGCAATTAAAGGAACTTTCTAACTTACTTTTTCTTGATCAATATTATAACTACTCAGTTAAAACAAGAAGTGATTAGATTAAAAATTAAAAATTTATCTCTTCAATTAAGAAATGAGAGAGATAAATTAGAAAAGTTAATAACTAGCAGTAAAAATAAGGTTGGAAACAACTTTGAAAAAATAGTAGACCTATTTCTCGAAACACAGAAGCAAATCATTGAACAAAAGAAAACTAGTAATATTTTAATTCAAGCGCGCTTAGAAGGACAATTAACTGCTTATCAAAGTATCTTAGAAGGAAATTTAACTAAGGAAGAGTTACATCAGCAAAATATATTAATGTAATCTTATGTAGGTTACTATGCCTGAAATATTGCGCAATAATTACGGTCTGGACATAATATTACACAAAAAGTTGCAAAATATTGTGCAATAAATAATGTAAAATTATGAAATATATTACACAAAATTATGAAACTTATAGTGCAATATTACGTAATATATTGTGCAATATTTTGAATTAGTTTGAAACAATTCGAATAAACGTAAATACATCAAAACAGCAAAATATTTATAAACTAAAAGATAGCTACTAAAGAGTAAGAAAGCTAATCAATTTGAATTTATCAAATGCTATTCGAAATATTTCGGTGAATTTCGAATTAATTCGAAATAAATTAAATAATTTATAAAATATATTAAAATGCAATAATTATACAATTTATTAGATATTTTCGAATTAATTCAAAAAAAACTAAATTTATAAACTTTATTTAAATAAACAAAATATAAAAATTATAACTTAAAATACATTTTATTAATAATTTTATCTTTTATTTTATTTAAAATTTTAAAAATTACATAAAAAAAAAATGCTAAATTATATAAAATCCTAAAAGAAATATATAAAAATAAAAGGCAAAAAAACACAGCATTATTCGAATAAAAAATCAAAGCAAAAAAATAAAAACTTTTACTTATCATCATCCAAATCTTTCTCATCATCAACCGTAACTCTCTTATCATCATTATCATCATCATCGTCTGAGGCCAAATAATCATTATCTACCAGAATATTTTTGGCTTCTTTGGGTACTTCTTCTTGGTTAGTTGTGTCCTCATCCAAACTAACTCGAACTCCTTCAGATTATTTTTAAAAATTAAAATTAAAATTAGCTAATTCGAAATATTGCGAATTAATTCAATTAAAGTTAAGTTAGTTAAAGTTTTTCTTACTATATTTTGGCCTTTTATGAGTCTAAATAATTCATAAAATTAAAATAAATTCAATTAAATTAAATAAAAAAAATTGTATCCTTTTGGATTGATTTGAATCTTTTTTGCATTTGGGAACTTTATCCTAATTAATTTTAATATTTGTATCAGTTTGTAAATTAATTTAATATAAATTTAATTAATTTAAAATTATTTTTACTATTTTGACTTTATTCAAATCTTTTTCTCTAAGGTTATCTCTTTCTTTATCACAAGATTCGACTTCTGAGCCTGGATTAGATAATGGTCTACTATATTTTAAGCTCTCCTATTTAATTTGAATTAGTTTGAATTTAGTTAATTAAATTAACTGATTATAATAAAAATTAAATTAAATACTTACTAAATAACTTGTAGCCAATTTTTTTACAGCACTTTCTTCTATAGTTATTTTGCCGTAATCTGGGTTAAGTATAGTTTGAGCTACTGCTATTGTATAAGCTACATTTTCTTCAGAAGCATCTTCATCTGGCTAAATTTTCTTTAATATCTTTGCTATATACATCTCTTCAAACCCTTCTTCTATTTCTTTAAATAGCATCTTATAACAATTTTTAGTCTTTTTCAAGGCCTTCCAATCTCAAATTTGGTTTGATGAAGCTAAATTATCTATTTTATCTAAAAGACTCCCAAAAACAGAAAACATACATTTCTTTATATTGCTTGTTAGTGAACCTTGCAAAGATCTAATTTGTTTCAAAAGCTAAAGTATTATAATTAGTAAATTAAATTATTTAATATTATTTAAATTGTTTCGAAATAATTTAAAATATTTCGAATCAATTCAAAACATATAAAACATATAAATTAAATAAATAGGTTTTACTGATCCATTGATGTTCCTTATATAATAGGCATTCCACTAATTCAGCGTATTTTTCTTGTAATCTTCTTTATAATTATTCCTGATATATCTATCTAATTCTGTCCTGATTAGCTTTTCTTTCGGATAAATTGCTTTATTTAAAATTTCTCTAGATATATTTTTGATCACATTCTATAAATAAATTTTATTAATGTTATATAAAATATTAGATTATCTTAAATATATTATTATAATTTTAAATATATTAAATAAAACTTAATAATTACTTCTTTAAATGTTTTATTGTTGGAAAAATCGAAGTCAGTGTCTAATTTTTCCTCAATATCTTTTAATCTAGTTTCTATAATCCTGACTTTCGCTTTAATATCTTTAACATCCTTAAGTATCTCACCTTAATTCTCAATAATCTTCGAAATAGATCTTGCAAGTGCTTATAATTAAATAGATTTAAGTAAATCAAATAATTTTAAGTTAATCTAAATAATGATAAAAAAAATTATATACATTCGAAACTATTTGCATTTTCATAAAACACTGAAGTTCCACTCGGTCTGATTTCAAAACTGTCGACTTTGTCGTAGAAGATTTCACTTAATTCAGTTTCGTGAGTAGATTCAAGGCTTGCCTTCTTTGTGGTTGACTTCTTTTCGGATTTCTTAGCGGATTTCTTTGAGGTAAGATTAAGTCCTGCGAATTTATCTAAAATAATTTAAAAATTTTCAGTAATTTGTTTATTATAATATTTAAATATTCAAATAATATAAATTTATAAATAATATATTACTCAATTTGCTCATTTTTAAAAAAGTTAAAAAAAACTTAAAGTGAAGTTAGTAGTAAAGTATGTAGTAAAAAAACAAAAGACTTAAAAATTTAAAATAAATCAAATAAAACTAATACAAATCAAAAACTTTAGTAGCAAATATAAAGCAATTTAAATACGAAAACGAGTTTGTCTAATTTGAGTATTATTTGAGTTTGTTCGAATTGTTGTGAAAAGTTTAAATTGTCACAACAATGTTGATTGTAGATCTAATTATATCCTATTTATAGTAAATTCTTGGCACTTATCACATGATTTTAATTTTAATTATAAATACAAATTTTTGAACATTTTTAATTTCTGAAACATTTTCTCAAATAATCAAATAATTTGATATAATTATATTATATTTGGATTAATTCAAATTATTTGAAATAATGTAAAAAATTTTTACTACTACTATTTATAATAAAACTTAAAATAATATTAACATAACGAATTTAATTTATATACATTAATTAGAATAGTTTGTATACACTATAATTAATTTGCAATGATTCGAATAGAGTTAAATTATTTTTTGTAGATTTAGAATAATTAAAGTAAGTTTGAAATTCTGAGTATTAATTAAATTATATTGAATAAAAATCATATATTTTGATTTTATTAAATATTGTCAGATTAAAATGAAATCAGATTAAAATGAAATGAGGGACCTCTCTCGCTCCTCTTTAAAGCTTATAAAACCCACTTATACTCTTTTTTTAATAAATCTAACACTAAACCCTAACCCTAACCTTAAAAAAGTCTCCCAAAATTTTTTAAATTGTCCCTTAAAAATATTAAAATTTCATTTTAATCTGATTTCATTTTAATCTGTTACAAATATTAATGTAACTAATATAATGAATTTAATTTATTAAAAAACAAGATTAAATTTATTTTTTCGATATAAATATGTTAAAATAAATCTTTGCTCTTATTATTAAAATTTTTTGCTTGAATTTTTTTTTACTTTCTTATATTATAGAACTTGAAACTTTCAAAACTTTTTTTAATATAAAATATTATCACTTAAAAATATCTGAATTCAAATACTTATTCTGCTTATGTACTTTTACAAACCAAAATAGATTAACTCAACATATGAATATTTGTGTTAAAAGTGCTAAAGTTGAACCTATAGTTGTGAAAAAACCTGCTAAAATTCGCAATATTTCGAAACTACCTAAGCTAAAACAAAAGAAATTTAATGATATTAAAAAAAATGAAATTAATTGTAATGTTTTTACAAATAAAATTTCATTTAAAGATATCAAGTTTCGCAACATTTCGAAAGTAGTTAAAATTAATGAAATTAATTCTAATATAGAATTAGATAATACTAATGCTGGTCCCTTAGATGTAACTAATATGGATGATCTTTCCAATAATTTAGCCGATATGTCATTTAAATTTGAAACTAATAACGATAATTCAAATAGTTTCGAATTAGATCCTGCTAATAATTTACTTGAAGGACTTGAAAACAGTTTGCAGAAATATCAGGAATTTTCTAATGAACTTTTAAATAATTCAGCTTTTACTGAAGAAATTTGAAACTCTTCGGATGATGAAGAGTTGAAGCAGAAATATGCTAAATTTCCTAATGAAGCTTATGCTGATTTAATAGTTCTGATTACTAAACATAAGCTTAGTAATGCTGCTGGAAATGCTATTATTTTATTTTTTAATAAGTATTCAAATCTAGAAGCATCACCTTTATCCAAAAATATGAAACAAGGCAAAGATTTTATAAATAACATTAAATCTAACTCATTTTATAAGAAAACAAAAGTATTAGATCTTAATAATACTGAGTATTTCTTACATCACTTGGATTTAATAAGCTGTATCAAAAATATATTGGAAATTCCTAATATAGTTCAAAATTTAGAATTTGAATATAAAGAATTATATAAAACTGCTAAGGTATATATTACTTTTAATTTTATTTGTAAAT